AGTTAACGTATTTTCTTTCTCTCAGTATCTGTAGAATCCATTAACATGCCTAGCACCTGGAATACCCTCCATAAAAATCATTTTAATTGAATTTCTACAGATACATGATTATCCATCCCTATAAACATACATATACACAGGACTTTTCATTTTCAGGTAGAATCTTGGAACAAGGTGTAACCACTATAAACTTTCCCACTCTCTCTTGAACCCACCCAATCACACTTTCACTTATGCCATTGTGTAAAGTGACTCTTATCAATTTCAACGTGGCTGAAACTAATGATCAATTGTCAGTCTATATCTAACCCTATCCCTCTTTGTAGTTTTGCACATAGAGCTTTCCTCTCTCCTGAAACTCTCTTATCTTGTCTTCAGGACATTCCTCCTAGCTCTCTGGATGCCACTGGGTCCTTTTTACTTTAGTTTTTTTATTGTGATAAAAGACACATAACATAAATTTTGCTATCTTAATCATTTTTAAGTGTACAGTTCAGTGACATTAAGAACATTCACACTGTTGTGCAAACATCACCACTCTCCATCTCCAGAACTCTTTCATCTTGCAAAACTGAAACTGTACCCGTTGAACGATGAGTCCCCATCTCCCCTCCCTGCTCCAGCCCCTGGCAAACATTGTTCTTTCTATCTCTATGAATTTCATCACTCTAGATATCTCATACAAGTGGAATCATACAGTATTTGTCTTTTTGTGACTGGCTTATTTCACTTAGCATAAGGACCTAAAGATGCATCCATGTTGTAGCATGTTGCAGAATTTACTTCCTTTTTAAGGCTGAATAATATTCCATTCTGTGTATATGCTGCATTTTGCTTTATCCATTCATACATTAGTAACACTTGGGTTACTTCCACATTTTAGCTATTGTGGATAATGCTGCTATGAACACAAGTATACAGATACCTCTTCAAGACCCTGTTTTCAATTCTTTTGAATGTATATCCAGTAATGGAATTCTGGATCATGTAGTAATTCTATTTTTAATTTTCTGAGGAATGGCCATACTGTTTTCCACAGCAGCTGTACTATTTTACATTCTCACTGATAGTGCACAAGGGTTCTAATTTCTCCACATCCTTGCCAACCCTTGTTATTTGCTGTTTGTTTAAATAGTAGCTATCCTATTGGATGTAAGGTGGTACTGTGTTGCATCTTTGATCTGTATTTCCTTAATGATTAGCAACATTAGCTAAAATAAAAGATTAGCATCTTTTCATGTGCTTATTGGCCATTTATATTTCTTCTTTGGAGAAATGTCTGAATATTTCTTTTTAAACAACATCTTAGTGATTCCTTTTCATCTTTCAGACCTCTTCACCTTGCAGTGGCCAAGGGCACTGCCCTTGGACCTCTTCTCTTTCTACACTCACTTCCTTAGTGATCTCATGCAGTCTTATAGTTTTAAATACCAGCCACCTGCTGACCCTCCTCAAAAGATACCTTCAGCCCAGAACCCGCCCCTGAGCTGAGGCTACCATTTCTAACTGCCTGCAGGACAGCTGCACTTGGGCATCGAGTAGGTGTCTTAAGCTTACTATGTCTTAATGCTGAGCTCCTTATCCTCCCCCAAATCTACTCCGTCTATAGTCTCCACATCTCTTTTAATGGCAATTCTGTTTTTCCATTGGCTCAAGACACTTGTTGTCATCCTTGATTTCTTGTTTTCTCGTGCCCCATCAACAAATCCTGTCAGAGCTGTCTTCACAATATGTATGGACTTTGACCACTTCCCCTCCTACTACTCTAGTGCACAGTAACATCATCTCTCACCTGGTTTATTTCAGTGACCTCCTAACCTGTCTTCCAGCTTCAGCCTTTCCACTTTCAGTCTGTCCTCCATCTGGCAGCAAAGTAACCTGGAAAATCCAGTGTCAGATTATGTCACTCGTCGGCTCAAAACCATCTTTATTACTCCTAACAAAAGCCAAATTCCTAATAATGGCCTATGTAATTTCTTTCTGCTACATGTACATAAGAAGCACCTTCCTACCTCAGGACCTCTGCATTTGCTGATCTCTCTATAGAGAAAGTGATTCCTTTGTGCCAGGGACCCCTGTGGCAGTCTGTGATGCCCATGGATTCCTTCTGAGTATAATATCTTTAAATCCATAAAATAAGTTTCCTAAATTATAAAGAAAGCCAATTATGTTGAAATAAACTCTCAAAATATTTTTAAAATGTGTAATAGAGTAATGTATGTGTTTCTTATTAATTCATTAAATTACACGAGCTAGCAGCATAATTATGAAGTAATGATAACTGTGATGATATTTTAAGGTATTTGCAACAACTATAATGTGATGTGAAAATATCTGATTTCTACTAGCAACAACGTCACAGGTGCTGCTAATAGCCCTGTGATTTGCTGTCTGCATTCATAATTGAAGAACATGCTAAATGTTAATTCGTGAAAATAAAGCTAAAATTGTTTTCCCCGTCTAAAGTCAAGACCCTCTGGATTCTATCCACAGATCTCTGGGGGGCGGGGGGGGGATGTCTGCAGTCACCACGTTAAGAACCCCTGCCTTAGAACATTCTTCTCCCATAAGCCCTCACAGCTCATTCCTTTACCTCCTTTTATTCAAAAGCCACCTTCTCAGTCAGCTCTTCCCTGAGGACTCTATTTAAATTGCATGCCCACGTTCCCAGTCCCCCTTTCCTACTTAATTTTTCTGAATAGCACTTACCTTCAAATATAATATTTTATTTTAAAAAATTGTGTATCTCCTTCCACTAGAAAGTGCATTCCATGGGAGTAGGCATTTTTGTCTGCCACTTCTGTGCTAGGTGCTCAGCCCTTAGAATGGTGTCTGGTATACAAGTGGCACTCAGTAAATATTTGTTGGGGAAAAAAAACGAATGATTACATCTCCTAGAACTGTTATGTTTTTTCTCTTTTTTTTTTCTGCAGTAAGTTCATGATTTGTGAGACTTTTACTAAAGATTAAAGAGTTACAGTGATCTCCGTTGCTATTATTCTGTTAACATTTTCAAGGTTAACCTTAAAACAGTAGCAGAAGCTGCAGGAATGCAAGGATTCTGATGAAGCTTCCAGTCCTAAATAAGAAGTGCCTTCCAAGGACTCCTTAGGGGACCTGGGTCTCACCCAAATTCAGGGAACCACCTCAGACGCAAAGTGCTACATATAATATTCTTTCTTGCTATTATAGCAGTCAGGCCCCCATCCCCAATCAAACCGATAATGCTCAAACCTTTTAATTCTGGCAGCATGGTAAAATGGAAAACACATAATCTTGGGGGCATCCAAACCAGATGCCCACTCTGCCACCACTTTCTAGTTTGTGTGACCGTTAATAAGTCACGAAACCTTTCAAAATAGGTAAAATGGGATTTTTGTGAGGATGAAAGGGGATGACTTGCAGAGTGCACAGCACAGAAGATGGTCATCTTCTCCCTCTTCCATCTCTCTAGGTCATTTTATAACTGCTTGCCAAGGCTCACAGGATCTTGATGGCTAAGAGGAGGAGCCTGTCCAGTCCTTTCGTGCATGTAAACTCTCTAGAACTAGACCCAATCAGAGTACTTTCTTTGGATTGCGCCACTGTAAATTGGTGCTTCCATTCCCACTTGAGATGTGTGGTTGAGACTGCCATCTGGACCTTGACCATGAAGCCCACCATCTATCACAAGTTTTTTCACATCTATTTCTTTTTTGCCCTAACTAGGAAATCTTGTACATGTCCTCACAGAGGGCAAGACAGAAACCATTGTCCTCCAGTATTTCAGTGTTAAGAGCTTTCGGGGACCACATTCAAGCACCAGGGAAAGTGCTAACGTACACTGTGCACTCTGAGCCAGGCCGCTGCTTTACACATATAGAATGTATGCATACATATATACATATATGTGTATGTACACCCATGGCTTCAAGAACCTGCCAACCATCCTGTTCTATATTAGAAGAAAGAGACCCAGAGAGATGAATGCATTTTCCCACATCAAGTAGCTTCTCAACTGCAAAGCCAGGATTTGAATCCAGGTATTTGACCATTTTGTTAACATGCGAACAGCCCATGACATCTGTTTTCTGGCACTGAGTTTAGGCTTGGGAAAATCCTACCAATTCAGAGCTAGAGTCAGGTCCAACCAGGAGGTGGTACCCCAGTTCCTCAGTCTTGCCACACAAGCCTTCCCAGACTTTGTGAATGAAGGCCAAGGAGGAGACCCTTGCTGGGGCTCCCTTTTAGCTCATATTTCTTTCTTCTTTCTCACCATCTCCCTCTTTGTTGTGTAGACAATTTACCCTGTCAGAGGATTTGTGCTGTTAATAGAAGTTTGTTTATTATTAGATTTATTTCTCCTATAAGCAAATGTGTTCACAACATTCCATCGGGAAATCTTTTTAATTGTCAGATAAATGTCATCTTATGTAAATCGAATATTTATCTTTCCATGGAAGGGCGTGGAAGGGAAAGACAAAAAAAAAAAGGATAAACAACCTTCAGTCTTGGAGAGGGAAGGCGGTTCCTGTCCCAGATCACAACTCACCCACGTGCCTTCAAAGCCAAAGGTGAGTTGAAAAAATTATTGGATCATCTTTGAGGGGCAGCCAAAAGGGAGGGGGAAGAAAGAGAAGTTGGCAACGATGCTTTGGGGATGTTGATCCAGGCTCCCAGGTTCCCCCCACCAATCCCTGCCTGAGACCAGACCACCCCCGTTCCAGTTGGGAGCATTCAGAGAAGTCTGCAGCTTGCCCCCGACACCTCCCCATCCAGGAGGCTAGCGCAGCTCCTTCCTCGAGAGAAGGTGAGCACCGCGGGCGCAGCGGGTTGAGTGGGTGTGGCCCGCGGCTCTGGGAACGGACCCAAGGCCCCGCCACCGCCTGCGAGCCGCCCGACAGCCCGCCTGCCTGGCGAGCGCAAGCGCTTCTTCCAGAAACTGCGAGGATCCGAGCGCACTGTTTGTGCACCACAAGGTCAAGTCGGGAAGTGGAGCCGGAGGAGGAGGGGCGAGAAGGCGAAGGGTGGGGAGAGGGGCGCCCCGCTTCCTCGCCAAGTGCCAGCCCTTGGAAGTTGCCCCCTCGGTTTTTAACCCTTTAGGGGGAAGGGAAGGACCAGCTAGGGGGGAAGGGAACACCCCAGGGCAAACACCTACTGGGGCCACCACTTGCAGCTACCCACCCACCCATCACTGCGTTCCCCACCCCCCGGAAATGCGGGGCATAGCTGGGAGCCTGGAGGCACCCGAGGGGGGAGGGGGGCGACGAACCCGAGAGGAACCCTCTCTACGGACCTCCCCTCCTTCCTTAAGGTCGCCCACAATTTCAAGTTTCCCCCGCCCGGGATGTTAGTTTCCATCTACTGTGGGTGGGGGAGGAGGGCCGCGCCCCCTCCCCCAGACTCGCGCGCGTGCCCCTCCCCTCCGCTCCTGCCAGCACTTTCTGCTCACTTCTGGCGCTGCAGAGCGCCACGCGATTTATTCGGTTCGCATTTTTAAGCCAGCGATTCGGGAGCAGGGCCTAGGGCGAGGGTCTTCCAGCGCTGGAGCCCCGGGAGGCGGGGTGCTCAGTGCAAACCTCGTTCCCTCCGCGAGTGTCGCCTTCAGGCTGTTATTTGCAAAGAAACGTCTTTTTGACGCAGGGAGAAATGGCAAATTTTAAGTACGTCATTAATATGGCGCCAAAAGATTTTTTTAAGTATAAGCTTGCTTTTTTTTTTTTTAAGGTTGTGGGGGGCGCCGCCCGGGTCTGGGGCGCAAAGGGGGCGGGGTGTGAGCAGAAAGTGTGAGTGAGAGAGTGGAGGGGCGGGGTATGTGTGTGAGTGTGTGAAGTGTGAGCAGACCTGATGGGACTTGCACGGGCGCAGCCGCCGCTCGGGCTCGGCCCTGGGGACAGGGCGGGCTGGGGGCGCCCCAGAGCCCATGGGGAGTCTGGGCCCGAGGTGCAGGCAGAGTGGCAGCCCGGCCGGGCACCCTCCCCCCAAGGCCTGCAACGCTACCTGGACCCGCTGCCGGAGCCAAACAACTAGGCGGGGGGTGGGGCGGGCGACGGGGGGTGTCAGGAGTGGAGATCCGAGTGAATAAGAAAAAAGTGGCTACTCCCCCTCCCTCGCTCCTCCCGCCCGCCCCCACCCCACCCCCACCCCAACACATTTTTTTTTTTCTAAAGAGATCACAAGGAAGTCTTGGTTTAAAAAGAAACAGAAACATACACAGGGGGATTGGTGAATGGTGCCGACCGCGGCCATCGCAGTTGGAGGCTATTTTTTTTTGTGGGGGGGGGTTGAGTAGCGTCCATGGAGTTACTTTGTGCCCATTCCTAGCGGCAAGGGCTTACGTCCAGCGGGCTGACCGTCCCCAGCAGGGGTGCGGGGCCGGGGACGCCAAGGGCCCGGCCGCCTCCCTCGCCGCGACCCCGGATGGATGCGCGCCCCCCGCCCGCCCGCGCCGGCCCCAGGAGCTCCGGGTTTCGGGAGCATCCTTCCCGCGCCGGCCCCCGCCGCGGCGCGTAGTCCAGGGCAGCGCCCCTGAAAAGGGCACCGCGGAGGAAGGTAAGATCCTGCCCCCAGCGATGGGCCCTGCGCATCTCCACGGCGTTATTTTGTGTTTTTGCAACAGATCTGCCAGCGCTCCTCGCTCCCTCGCTCGCGCTCGCGCTCTCTCTCTTGCTCGCTCGCTCCCTCTCTCTCCTGCTGGCTGCCTGTTCTAGGAAGCCAGGGCGCGGGGGGGTGGGGTGGGGGGGGAGATGCACAGCACCCGGGAGAGAGATTGCGCATGTTGGTCAGTCGTGTTTTAAAGAGTACATTGCGGGGAGGCTGAGAGGGGCGCATGCAACAACAACTTTTGGAAGGGTGAGCTTGGCGACCTTCTTTATTAATGACTGCGGCAAAGCGCCCCCGGGCCGGTGAGGGGGCGCGGGCGGGCGGGGGCGCGCCAGGGCTGCAACTTGCCCCGCGGGCTCCGGCCGCGCGGAGGGGCTGCGGCGGGAGACCGCAGCGGAGGGGAGGTCGTTCTGCGGAAGACTGGGGTTCGGAGGACCCGGAGCTATCTGCCCTCCTGTCGCCCTGAGTTTCATTTTGTTGATACGCAGCACGTCCGGCCGCCGAACCGGGCTGAGCCGGTGCACATGACTCCGCGCTGGGCTCACGTGCAGCCGGTCCGGTCCCAGACACCTTCCGGGGGCCACCGCCTCCGCCCTGTCGCCCCCTCTCCGGGCTGGGTGCACGCGGGCGCTGCACGCGGGGGCAGCATGCTCAGCTCCCGGGCGCAGAGGCTCTGCACAAATTAAACACAGTGTTTTGGAGGGGCGGGGGACACCCTTTCCAGGTGAGTATGCAGGGTGTGCAGTCCCGGTGTACGGGGCGCGGGCTGGGGTCGGGGGCAGCCCCCCCACTCCGGGGCTGCGCGGGAGTCCGGCGGGGGAGAAGCGCTGGGAGAGTGGAAATATACCGGCTGCGGCCGGAGCGGCGGGTGCGCGCCCGCGGGGCGACGGCAGGGGGCGTGGCCCTTGTTTACCTTCTCTCAACTCTGCCGGTTCGCGTCCCGCTTCGGGGACCGTACTGCAGTCCCCTGCCCTCTGCCTCGCTCTCTGCGCCCTGGGTGGTTCCGGGAAGATGTAAGCAAGTGGCAGTCTCAGCCTGGGACATACACACCTGATCCTCAAATAAGTGTCATTGCAGCCCCAGCCCCCACCAAGCACCGCTGCAGTCCCTCTCCCGGATCCCGGGCCCCGCCCCGCCCCCGGCAGTGGCATCTTCCCGGCCTCACCTCCTTCCTCCCTCCCTCCTTCCCACCCACTCGCCTGCGCCTGCGGAGCGGCTCCCGCCCGCTTCCTCCCCGCCTGGGTGCAGACTTGTGGCTCCCTCCGGTCCCTTCCCGCCTATCACTGGGCTTGAGACACTCTCATCTCCAGGCCAAGGGATGAGAGGAGGTCAGCCTCGCGATTCGTAGCGGTTACATCAGAAGGTGGGGATGTCTGCGAAACCGGCAGGAAGGCTTCGCGGTGGCTTCCAGAGGCCCAGGACCCCCCGCCCAAACACACACACACCCAGTCTCCCACCACACACAGCTAGCTGCCCACTTCCTAAGAGGCTCGGCTCCTCTTACCCGCCTCACCTAAAGACCTCGTCCCCCACCCAACCCCCGCGCTGGGCGTTAAGTCCGCAGTCCCCGGCCCGAACCGCCCCTTGCCCTTCCTTCGCCTGGGCCAGAGCCCCCCGCAGCCACCTCCGGCTCCTCCTCCCGGCTCCCGCGGTCGGAATCACGCCGGCGCGCCTCCAGCCTGCGGTCCCGCGAACTGCCTCCAGGGGCAGGCTGGAGGCGCGCGCCACCCCCTCCCAGCCCTCAGCCTTCGCCGCGGGCCGGGACGCTTTTTTTTTTAAACCACCTTGGCTGCAGGTCTTCTGCCCAGGGCTGGTGGGAGCGGGAAGGACAGTGTTTCCCTTTGCCCTGAGCCAAGGGCACGCTGCACCCGGCGACTTTAGTCTCTGCAGATGTCCAAACTTTGCTCCCGCGCTCAGCACCCTCGCTCATCTACTGCGGGACATAAAGTTTTACCCAGAGGCTGAGTTTGCAGAGGGTCATCAGGAGGCATCTTGTCTGCACTCACAGTGGCGCTAAAAGGGGCTGGGGAGAGGCTGAGAGGGCACGGCTGGCTTGCCGCCTTGCCTTTGTTGGAAGGGGGAGGAGCCCTGAGTTTTGAGCCCAGACTAGCTGTCAGGATGTCCCCTTAACGTTTATGTTTGCAAACAGAATCAGGGTCCCGGGTGGTACCGCTGCCTGGTCCCTCCTCTCACGGTGGCATTAACTCCCTCCCTTCACTGGTAAAATTCCCAGTAGGACATTTGGCAAAAGGGCCATGCGGGGAGCTGCCAACCGGGCCTGGCCCTGTTTCCTGGGTTCCCAGGGTGCTGGCTTTACCCCTACCCTGACTTCCTCTCTCACCTTAGGGCCCAAGTGAACGCACCATCCCTCCCATCTCTTCTTCCTCAGGCGGGTTGGGACTTGCAAAGCGATCTAACAAGCAGAGGAGGAAAATAACAACAGAATAACTGTAAGGGGAAGGAATGAGTAATAAAGCCGACCCAGGCAGGGAGGAGGGCTTTCATGTTTAAGAGATGCTATTTGCTTTTTAGGTCACAGGCTGCAAAACAGGCTTTGATCCGAAGTGGGCGAATAATTTATTGAGAGTTTGCATGGTAGGGGAAAAAAGGGGATGTTTGTTTGATCTGGAGCCCTCTCAGTTGTCCCAAGTGCTGTTGGCTGTTGTTTGGAGTGGAAAAGCATTTGGTTCTACAGCAAATGCCTCGCAGAGGGAAGTCCTCGCCCCAGGCAGCAGGGACTTGCAGTGAATGTTGGTTTTGAAACTGTTTGGCCAAAGGTCTCTCCAGCACTTTTGGAGATGAAGTGTTTAAGGACAAAGTTGTTTGGACTCGGGATGCAGCAAATGTTTCCAAAACTTTTCCCATCCAACGTGCTTTTCCCCTTCTCTAAATTGCACGGCTGATCGGCCAGTAACATTAATCCAAGAGAGCTTCCACTTGCCTTTCGTTAACAGGTGAGGTGGGACTGCTGGTCCCAGCTTGCAGGTGTAGCCTGGAGTCTTGTGGTTAGGCCTCTGACACTGACTGTCACATCCTTGACTGGGGGGCGGGGGGGGGGTGCTCTAGTTAACCAGGGTTCCAGGTAACAGGAAGGTAATTGTCTTACACCCAAGACCCAGGTCAGTGATTTCCAGTCCCAAATTCTTGACAACTCACCCAGCAAGCTCTTTGCAAGCCTTACAGTTAGTTCTGTGTTTAGGTGCTCCAAGGGAAGAGCTAGTTGCGAGGAGGTACCCCTGGCCTGCTTTGTGCTCCATCCACATAGGATCCTAACTGTGTGACTCAAAGTTGAGGAACCCAGGAAGGTTCTCAAATAGCCTATAGGAATCTGGAGTATGGGGGCACCTGGGTGCCTCAGTCGGTTAAGCGTCCCACTTCGGCTCAGGTCATGATCTCACGGTCCGTGGGTTTGAGCCCTACGTCGGGCTCTGTGCTGGTAGCTCAGAGCCGGGAGCCTGTTTCAGATTCTGTGTCTCCCTCTCTCTCTCTGCCCCTCCCCCGCTCGCTCTCTGTCTCTGTCTCTCAAAATAAAATAAAGACTAAAAAAAAAAGGAATCTGGACTGGAGTATGTCAGCCACACTGTGGGGTTGGAGGGCTGTGCAAGGTAGCCCAGGGGGTCAGAGTATACCACCTGGAGTCAGAAAGCCTGGGTTTGAATGCTGGCTATGCAGTCACCAGCTGTAACAGTGCTCTGTGCCTCACTTTCTTCATCTGTAAGTAGGGTTAATGATAGTCCATACCCCGTGGTTGGTGTATGGATTAAGCAATATATTGCATAAAGAAGATTAAACCCAAAGCCAGCCATGTGGTAAGCACCTGATCAGCATTAGCCGTTTTTACTATTACTGTTAATGATCTGGAGAGGGCCCAAATGCAGCTTTGACCTTTGCTCTCTCCCCTTTAGGCTAGGCCAGAGAGCCAGCTCCCCTCTCTGAAGAAGGGACCGGAAGGACCCTGCAGTTGCAAATGGGCAGCCATCTGTGGGAGCAAGCGGACTGAGCATTGCCCTCTGAGGTGGAGGGTAGGGTGAGAAGGTGCCGAAGGACAAAGTAGACAAGGCCCCTTTCATTCTTCCAGGATCCCCTCGGTAGGTCCCCAGAACTGGGTTTGGAGGGTGGGTGTGGGCAGCGTGTTCCAGGGGAGCTGGGTGCCCTCAGGGACACTTGGAAATGCAGGTGCGTAGTGAGAAGTGTTGGAGGAGAGTTCAGGCGCCCCTCTGCTTGGAGAAGCAAGTTTGAGGATCTGTGTACAGAATCATTTTTGTAATGGCAATTACTGTCCCTCAGAAGGCATTAAAGTTAATGAGAGATAGGAAAGACTGGGGCTCTGACCCGCGTTTAAAGCCAGTTTAAGAGCGTGCAGCTCTTGTTTTCTGAATGTCTGGCCTTCCCGACACAAGGAGGCTCTGAGGACAGGTTTTCCAGCCGAAATATCATTAAATTGTATTAGCATCTTATTACACACACGCCTAAGCGGTCTGCCTCAGACAGGGAGAGTTTTTGTTTCTCTTTGAAAGATTGTGTCTGGAATGGTAAATTGCCTGCTTGAAAGCCGTTTTCCCCCCCTTTTTAAGGAGGAAGACGAAGTCCTGCTGTGTGTGGTGGCGGGCAGGGCAGGCCTGGTGGCCCCCAGAGAGGAGAGGCCGGAGGCCAGGTTGGGGTGTTTTAACTGCCCAGGGAGCGGCTGCACTAGCACGCCTGAAAGGCCCACTGTTTCCAGGGTCAGCTGGAAGGGCGTTAATGGAGGCCCAGGGTGTTTATTTGAGTTTATTTGTGGAGAGGTCTTTAAAGGGGGCTGGCATTGGGCATTGGTGTTTCAAGTCCAGACCCAAGGCCCCCACTAAGACCAATGGCTAGTGCTGCCAAGAAAACATCTGCCACCAAATTGCTGCCCTATTACAGAGTTGACATTGATCATTAGCCAGGAGCCCAACCAAATAAAGCCTCCTGGAAAATGTGTGAGGTTAAGACGGGGAAGGCAGGCTGTGAAAACAGGACAAAATCTTGGCCTGGGGTGTATATTCCTGCAAGCTGCAGGCCAGCCAGCTGGGCTCTGTGCACCCCTCACTTCTACAGAGAGGGGACAAGAGCACACTCAGCATTCCCTGTGTATCAAACCCCTATTGTGTGCCGGACATAACATGAGGGGGCATTGGAGCTGCAGCAGAGATCCAGACAGATGTGCTCCTTCCACTCCTCTCCAAGGAAGACACTGAACAAATGGCTCAACAGACACTAATCATGGTAGATGCTCTGAAGACGTTGAATAACCAGGTTATGGGTTTTCTCTAGGTAAGGTACCTGGCATAGACCTCCTTGACATTTAAGTTGAAATGTGAAGGATAAAAAGTGAGACATGCTTAGACTACTAGAACCGTACAGCAGAGAGCGCAGCCTGTGCACCGCTCCCGAAGCATGGAATATTTGGCTTCTTTCAGGAAATGAAGAGACCACTGTGGCTAGAAAGTGGTGAGGAAGGGGATAGTGGTCCATGTGAACTTGTGGAGGGAGGGAGGGGCCAGATCATGTAGGATATTGTGGTCAGGAGCTTGAGTTTTGTCCTTTGATCAGCAGGAAGCCTTTGAAAGATTTTAAATAGGGGTATGGCATGATCTGATTTATGTTTTTTTAAAGGTCATTCTGGCTGCTGTGTGGATTCTAGATTGAGGGGTGGAGAGGAGCAACAGTGGAAGATGGGAGGTGAATGAGGAGTCCAGGCAAGAGAGGAGACTGGTTTGGACCAGTGTGGTAGCAGCAGAGATGTGGGGAAAAGTGGATGGATTCACAACATGCTTTGGACGGAGAGCCCACTGGACTTGCCAGGCGACTGCTGTGGGGCAGAGATTGCACAGAGTCTGTGGGAACTCCAGGACACCCACGCTCCCGAAGGAGAGCTTCTTCTCTCTGTCTCTGGGCTGGGGATGGTGTGGGAGGTGCAAAGGGAAGGAAAAGGGGACCCTTTTCTGGGGGTCACCTTTATCCCCAAAAGCAAGCACCTTATGACAGTGGCGTGCTTTGGGAGAGATGGGAGGGGCCAGTGGAGAGAGAAAACCAGAGGCCAAGACCAAAGTGTCAGCCCCTCTCCACACCCCACCTGGATTTCAGCTGTGAGGAAGGAGTTCCCTGTCTCCTAGCTGAGTTGGGGTGGGGTGGGGGGGTCAAAGCACAAAGGGCTGTCCCACAGGGGAGTCCAAGCCTCATTTGAGGCTTCATTAGCCACTAACAGGGGAGGCTCACCTGAGGCAGGGAGGCCTTTGGAACAGACTTGGTTCAAAGGAAAGAAGCTTCACTCACACAAAAAGTAGCTTCCCTCTGAAGCCTAGTTATTATTCCAATTAAGCCACACAAAGTGTGCTCCCTTAATAACACCCTACCCAGGAGAACTCAGGGGTGTTTTCACGGAGGGCAGGTTGGACAGGGAGCAGGCTGAGGGTGGGGTGCTGGTCTGCACGCTGGCAGCTCACCTGTTGGTCCCTGGGCAATAGGGAACAGCATCACAAGAAAGGTGTTGGCAGTCAAGGGGTCCTGTTACGGGCGTCCCTTCTGTACTGTACAGGAGCCCCTCGGGGCGCTGTTAGGAGGACCCCTCACCTGGCCCAGGGTTCTTATGGTATGACTAGGACCTATTTGGAGAGCCAGCCACTGTGCTTAGGGCTCTACGCCGATTCTGGCCCACAGATGTGTTTAGTTTGGCCCTCTCAAACTGTTTTTGAAAATTCTGAATCCGTTGCCAACGTTTGAAGTTCAAGAGACTTCTGTGAAAATCCAGATAGAATCCTTATCCTCTGAGAGGTACGTCTTTCTCGAGGTCTCTGGTCTCTTGAGGGGTAAAGCTAGGATTTGAACTCGGCACCCCTCAGTCCAGAGCTCCTGCTTTTCTGCTTTGGGAAATGCTGGCTTGGAAGTGGAGAGACATGGGGTCCATGGGCAGGGCTGCAGGAGAAGATCTGGCCTGCGTTTATAGCGCTTCTCCTCCTCGCCCTGCCCCCACCTGTGAGCGCTGGGCTGGCAAGACGCAGGCTAGAGTCAGGGCCCTATCACAGTCATCTTGTCACACTCAGAAACTGGAGGACTGTGAGGATGACAGCTGTGGGTGGCAGAGCGTTATTGCCCCATTCTGTCCCTGACCCGGGCCACGGGACTGCTTGTGCTCTGCTGCACAGAAGCAGGGAAGTCTAAAGGTCAAGGGCACATGCTCCTGAACCAGATAAACTTCTCACAAGCATTGCAATCTTGGGCAAGTCACTTAACCTCTGTGCTTCCTTTTCCTCATCTGCGAAAGGGAAGCAGCCATCATGTCCACTGGCATAGAAGGGCTGTTCTGAGGGCTTCGTGAGGTCCCTGTGTAACAGGGTGTCCCCCTTTTTCTGCCACAATGAGTGCTGAGCAATTTAACCTCCCTGACACTCATGCCACCCATGTCCTCAGACTTCCCCTGTACCTCTGTACCCTCTGGGGAGCATGTTTCGTGCACCTTTGGAGCAAGCAGCCCCAGTGAATGTTCCTGTCACCCTGATCCTACTGTTGGGGGACACTGGAATGGGAAGAAGCTCCTGACTAAGGTCAGATCTGAGGCGGGAGGGTCCTGGTCAGCTCAGAGGTCTGGACAGTCTTGCCCCGCCCTAGAAAGCTAATGCTCTCTGGTCTCGAAGAAAGGGGCCACGGTAAGAAAAGGGGAACCCAGGGCTCGGCAGGAACAGACTTGGAGGGGTTGGTAGTGGCAGGCGGCTCATGGGACCCCAAGCAGAGGTGGGGAACCCGGTTGGCCTGGAGCCAGGCTGGGTAGCGGGGGTTTTCTCTCTACTAACACTGGCTCCTTGCCCTTTGCTGTGGGCAGTGAGGCAGCCCAGGTTCCAGACTAAGAGGGATGTGGTGGAAAATGCTTTGGGTTCCAAATCCCAGATCTCCTCTCACATTAGGACTCTAGCCACTGACTAGCTGTGTGACCCAGCCACTTGGTGTGCTCTGCTCGGAGAGGAGTCAGAAGCAAGCTCTGCCACCCTGGGCTCGGAGGGATTCGAGGAACTAGTGGGTGGGAAAGCACTCCCAGCAGGCAGGGGCTCACAGGGCACAAAGGCAGCTCGGTGTGGGCTCAGGGATCAGACCATGTGGATTCGAATCCCAGGTCAGCCACTTACCAGCATGACAAGGTCCTGCACCCCTCCAGAAAAGGAAGCCAATGGCTCACAGCTTCCCGGGTTGTTAGGAACATGTGCGGACAGAACTTTGGTAGAGGAATGAGCTCAGTATGGAGAGCTTCTCTTCTTAACCTTGGAGTTAAATACTATAGTTGGGATAAAGTTGGCTTGGGCTCTAATCTGGAGAAGGACATTGGGGGAGGGAGGGCAGCCCAGCCTAGGACCAGTCCCCCTGGGCCTCGTATGTCTCAGGGACCCAGCTTGGAGCCTTTCTGCTCCTGCCCCTTTTCCACACCCCTCTGGCCACCACCCTCAGGATGGGTCCTCAGTGCAGTGTGAACTGGCTTGTCTCTAAACTCACATGGCAGTGGTCCCTCTGGAAGAATCTTGTTTCCTCTTCGTGCCCGTCCTCGGCACCCAGCAGAACACCAGTTATAATTGGATGGGAGTAGATTCTCTGGAAGGCCTGAGTTGCCTTGAGTGGAAGCTGGGGCCAGGTAGGCCCTAATCATTGTTCTGGGGCTGCTGACCCCCCTTGCCCTCCTCCCTCTGTCGTCTTTGGCCATACTCCTGCTCATCTGAGGCTCTGGGCCCAGGAGGTGGGAGATGCAGCCCCCTGCCCCACCCCCAGGAGTCCTATAGGTGGGTGGGGAGAGGGTGAGACTGGCTGGGGAGAAGGCTAGGGCAGGGTCTTATTCTTCCACTTCATCAGGGGGGAGTATGGGGAGGTAGGTTATCAGGCAATTTTCTGAGAGACTGAGGATTTCCTGTGCCTCCTGTAAATGTAATGGGGCCTGCCTTTCGTTGCAGATGGAAGAGAAGAGGCGAAAATACTCCATCAGCAGCGACAACTCTGACACCACTGACAGTAAGGCCTTCCTGCTTGGGGCTCCTACAAGGAAAGCATTTGAATAATTAGCAGGCCTACAGGCCTAGCTCGGAGGAGGCTGCCCCATGGTCTCCATGTGGCTGAAAGCATAAATCAGGCCCGGTCCTTGTGCTCCTAAGAAAGTCCCCACACTCTGTGGCCTCCAGAGCCTTGCCGTTCTCTTACCCCTATACCCTTTTATCCCCTAGGTTTTAATCTGGTTGGAAAAGCTCAGATCCCCTCTGGGTCTTTGCGTATGCTGCACCTGACTGCTCAGAACATATCCTGTTCCCTCTGTCCATGTGTTAAATCAGGGCCCTGTAGAAAGCCTCTACACAACAGACAGAAAATCTGTTCCTCATGATTGTAATTAGCTGATAGGAGTATCACCTCCTTGATGAGAGGGGTCATGTCTGGCTCAATGCTGTATCCTCAGCTAGGTCAGGCACATAATAGGTGTTAAATAAATGCTTGTCGAGGGAGTTAATGAGGGACCTTGCCAGTAGAATCCCAGAGGTAGACTTATGTATGGGTGTTGAAGCTGGGTGTCTTGGGGTCAAGGAAAGAAGGGGGCTTAGGGAGCCTCTTCTCAAATTTGGTGTTGATAAGGGAGGTTTGTATAAGGAGAACTTTTCTCCAGTACCAGAATGCAGCTCTTCCCAGATGCTGCAGGAACCTGGGCCTGCATGAGATGCCAAGTAAGGGGTTCTGTTCTGCCCTATGTAGGAGAGGTGCGGTGCCAGGCAGATCCCATCAGCAGTGCATCCTGGTGGGAGCCCAGGCTGAGGAAGAGGCCGAGCTGACTGCCAGGGAGGCTGGGCCTGGAGCCCTGTAGCTCTGCACCTCAGTTTGTTCACATATGTGGTGGGCACCTGGGATTTGGGAGATCTCCAAGGCTGCTTGGATCTCCTGGAGTTCCACAGCCTTCCAATAGACTGAAGACAGATGCACCCAACATGGCCAGCCAGCCCTTCCCAGCCCCTTCCCTACCTCCAGGTCTCCTTCACTGTCCTTTGGGGTCTGTTTGCTCAGCTTGGTCTGGTGTCTAACCTGGCCAGCCCTTCCTCCCTGTGGCAGGAGATCACAGCATCCGGCCCTTTGTGGCCACAACCACATTGCCTGTGGCTTGTCACAGTAAAGCCAAGAAGAACCGCATCCTCTGCTTCTAACATCATTGCAGACGAAGGAACCCTTGAAGGCCAAGCACCTGCAAGAGTGGCTGTCTGGGCAGCTGCATCACAGTTCGGCCAGGCTGTGGGGTACTCCCTTCCCACCAGCCCCCATCACTAATACCCCTCCCAGGGCTGTTGCTCCTTTGGCCCTTGGGGTGGAGGCTGCAGTCTTGTAGTCTAGTTAAGGGTCTTAGACCCTAATGATAATCGTTAATGTTTACGGAGGCGGTGGTCTGTATCAGGGACTGTGCTGACACTTTACAGGCATAGTCTCATTTCATCCTCCCAATAGCCTTTTGCCCCCATTTTAGAGAAGAGCAAACTGAGACTCAAGAGAGGTTGTCATTTGTCCGGGGTAACAAGCTAGTAAATGGGTCTACTTTAGCGTAGCATTCTTCCCACCTCCCTTTTGTGACTCTGCATGTCCACTGGGCACCATCCCAGAGTATGTCAACCTGGGGCAGGAAGGAAGAGTGGCCACAAAAGGCTTATTCTGGCCCTCCTTCACCAAGGAGGAAGCAGAGGACCAAAGAGCATAAGGGACTTGTCATGGGTTGTACAGTAAACTAATAACTGAGGAGTCCTGGCCACTGCCTTTTGTTTCCTAAGTCCCTTATGCTTGGTGAGTGGAGGAAGTATATGTGTCTGCATTCAGCATTGACAAAGTCCAGAGCAGGGACAGGTGCTCACAGAGGTTTCCACCTGCTGAACATTCAAGCCAGAGTCTTCCTTACGGGCTTCCTATCCTTGGATGTGGGTGGGTGGGTGGTGTTCCCTGCCTTCCAGGGGCTCCTAATGGGCTGTGCTCTATCTGCAGGTCACGCTACATCTGCATCAAGATGCTCCAAACTGCCCAGCAGCACCAAGTCGGGCTGGCCCCGGCAGAACGAAAAGAAGCCCTCCGAGGTGGGTAGTAGCAAATGTCCAGAAAAAGATGAAGCATTGGTGGGGAAGCCACAGGGGAAGTGTCCTGTGGACAGTTGAGGGAGTGAACTCTGTAGATGTATGGGGGCGAGCGTTCCTGGCTCGGGGTCCAGTCACTGCAGAGCAAGGCCAGCGTGGCTGAGGGGAATGAATGGGGACGAGGGGGTGCGGATGCCAAGCCTTGTAGCTTTGTAGGATGTTGTAAAGATGTTCCAAGTGAGCTGAGCGAGAAGAGAAGCCTTTCAGGGATCATAAGCAGGGTAATGACATAATCTGATGTTTTAATAAAAGGCTCCACTGACTGCTGTGAGAAGGGAAGACTCTTGCAATTGTCCAGGAGAAAAGCAGTGGTGGCTGAGAGCTGAGCAGTGACAGTGGAGAAAGAAGCAGTAGGATTTGTGGTGTTCTTGAGGCTAAGCCAAGGGTGACGGGGTGTGCTGATGCAGGGGTGACGGCTGGGGTCCTCAGTATCATCCAACCAGTTAGGTCATCTGCTCCTTATTCTTCCTGTTTCACACGCATCTGCATTCTACGTCTTCCTTACTCTGACCGAGATGTTTCTTGTGGCAGGTAGAGGTGTTTATGACTTTTCCAGCTGTGGAGAAGGACGTCGGGGGTGGGTAGTGCTGGACGTGCAGGGCTATCATGATCCTGCTTCTTGTGGCCACTGACAAATTCCATCCGAGGGTCACATCACTCTCTCAGGTCTTCAGTGCATTGCACTGGGCACAGAGGCTCCCTTGGCCCAGATGCAATTGCAGGAGCATTGAGTGCCCGAGAAGCAGGGGCTTTGAATCTGGTCCTTAAGAGAGGCATTGTTCTGGGGGCGCCTGAGTGGCTCAGTCGGTTAAGCGTCCAACTTCGGCTCAGGTCATGCTCTCACCTTTCGTGGGTTTTAGACCCGCGTCGGGCTCTGTGCTGACAGCTAGCTCAGAGCCTGGAGCCTGTTTCAGATTCTGTGTCTCCCTCTCTCTCTGACCCTCCCCTGCTCATGTTGTCTCTCTGTCTCAGAAATAAATAAAACATTTAAAAAAAAAAAAAAAGAGAGAGAGGCATTGTTCTGTAGCCTACAGAGTAGCCAGGAGCTATAGGCTGGACACTTGACTTTTAATCCTTAAAACTAACTCAGGGTTCTCTGTCCTTCTCTTACAGTAAAGAAATTGAGAATCTCTATAGCCAGGACTTGAAGCTCCTGAGGCCAGTAGTGCCAAGGGTGGGAAGGCCTAGAGTCTTGAGGCCGAACTCCGACATAGAGTGGAGGAGGGTGTCTTTGTTCTGAGCCTGGGGTCCTCTTTCCCCACTAACCACAGGGGCATTCATGGCTATGGGGGTCAATCCTAAGCAACAGTAGTTAGCCAGCCCCTAGGATGCAGTGGAGGCATCTTTCGCAGAGCCTTGCATTTGAAAAAGAACTCCCCAAGCCCTCCTTCAGCTGGCCTAGTCTAGCACTTTCGTGTGTGTTTGGTGGGACAGGGCGGGTGGTTGAGAACCGATGCCTCCCATCCCCCATCTCCTAAATTACTGTCCTCCTTTGGCCCTGTGGGAGAGGGGTGGAGATGGAAGGAGATACCTCTGGGAATGCAGTGAGGACTGGAACAAAAGCTGAGGATGAGTTGGGCACAGGGGGTGTGGTTTTGAGTGCCCTCGTGGACTAGCCCTGCCCGGTCGGTATATGGGACGTGCTCAAGGGCACTGGGACACAAGAGGCAGAGTGTGCCATAGGGCCCTGGGAGCCTCTGGGACTGCGTCTCTGCTCCTCCACCCTCACTCCCACCTGTCCTCCCACCCCTGTCTAGAGAGCCACAGGGCCTCCCTAGTGGCTATGGTTGAGTTAGTAAAACAATAGCCACATTTAAGTGCCTTCCACGTACCTTGGAGGCAGGAATTCTCTTTCCATTTTGGAGATAAGGATTCTACCTGTCCTTGCTCTGTTCGGAGAAGAGTGGCGCAGTTCTGGGGAGCTCCTGGGGCTGGCTGCTTCCCCAGACTCTGCCTGCCCTGCTTCCTCCAAGCACCAGGAGGAGGTGGGGGCCATTTCTCAGGGTAGAAATCCCAGGGGCAGGGCTGCCATCTATACCCTGGATAGGCCAGGGGCTGGGAGGAAACAGGTGTCTGCAAAGGCTGAGGGGAAAGAATGATTTGCATGGGGCTGAAAATTCCCCTCCCTCTTGGGTTTTCCAGCACAGAGCCTTTGAACCTTTCTCCCATCTAAAAATAGAGTCAAATCATCAAAAGGGTGTTGATGCCAGGCCCTCTGGCTACTGGTTGTGCATGGCTCTGGGTTCGAGCCCAGGGGCCTCTGCAGGCAGCTTTGAGACCTGACTGGCATCACCCGCCTTCAAGCCCTGAACTCCAGAAGGGCCGAGGAAGTCCTCCCTGCCTTGAACTGTTGCCAGGAACAAGCTCTTCCTCCCACAGCAGGCTGGAGTGCAGCCTGTGAGGTTTCCCTCGTCCCCTAAGTGAGGAGGCTGAACCATAGCCGGCATAAATTCCAAGTGATCATGAGGCCGAGAGGAAACCATCAATGAAAGCTTCCAAATTATTTGGCTCATGAGAAGGCAGAGATGAAAAGCGAGGATTTGGCGGCAGATAATGTTTGCACTAACTCTCCTCTCTGGGCCGTTCCCCTCTGTTTCTGTCAGTGGGTTGGAGAGGTGGGCCTTTAGAGTCTGCTGGGCCTGGGGGCCAAGGGCTTTGTTCACCCTGGTGAAAGGGGATCTGGGAGTCCCATTTCTCCAGTCCCTTAGAGTAAGACACTTGTGGGGTAGTTGTCAGGCTGCTCACAATCTGGGGCCAAGGTCCCAGCCGCAATGCTTGCAAATTGATGTGCGTGGTGCAGTCCCCTCCCTCGTGGGGAACTCTTGTTTCCCTTTGTCTCTTCATCTCTGAATGTGAACAGTGATGGCATGGGGTATCTGAGGGCCAGGAGTACCTAGCTTAACAGCAGTACCAACACATAGTGAATCCAAAAGCCGCAGAAAGGGCTGGGCTTGGGTTTATGCCAGGTAGGCGGCTGCCCCTGTAATAACCTGCTAGGGGCTGCCCTTCCCAGTGCACCCGAGGGTATAAATCTCCTAGCTCCCTCTGCACTGGAATAAGGTGCTGTAGGGCAGAAAAAAAAGTGCTCAGACCAGGAGTCAGGACCCTGGACAGGGCTGAGGTCTTGAGGCCCAGCTTCCCTTCTGGCCCTTAACCAGTGGGTAGCCTCCCTCAGCCAGAGTGAAGGGCGGGGGGGGGGNGGGGGGGGGGGGGGGGGGGGGGGGGGGGGGGGGGGGGGGGGGGGGGGGGGGGGGGGGGGGGGGGGGGGGGGGGGGGGGGGGGGGGGGGTGAGGGGGGGGGTGTAGTACAGGCCTCAGTACTGGAGCTGAAGGGACAGGCCCCGGGATTCTTGGGAGGCTGGATTTTTGGTGAAAGTGCACCAAGTCTGAAGTTGGCTCCAGGAACCCCTTTGGTAGTAGAGGGAAAAGATACAGTTGACCCCAAGGACATAGGCTGTCCCCTTCCTCTGCCCTGCCTGCGAGATCCCAACAAATTTGAGATTTGTCCCTTAAGGCTTAAGTTAAGCAGGCCAGCCCTGAAGGAGTGGAAGGGATTAGCCTGCCCTGGGAAGGTGGTACTACTATATAAACCATGGGTTTCTGGCCTCGCTTGTCTGACCAGACGGCATAACCATTTTTGGTACTTAACACTTTGTGAGACCTATCTCTGAGAAACTGATGGAATCCTGAAGATTATTCTTTTAAATACTAATACCAGGCCCCCAGTCCCACCTCACCTCCAGGAATTCTGACTTGAGTGGTCTGGAGTGTAGTCCCAAGTATCTACTTTTTTAAAGCCCTTTTGTCAGAAGCTGGGTTTAATAACTACTGCCACAGGCCTTTCTCCTTAATTTGCTAAGACAGGAAGTCCTGCCTTGATCCTCCCTGGAAAGACCCTGAGGTTGAAGAAGGAAGAGGAGGCTTTGCAGCCTGATTCAGTGACCTGAGCAAAAGCAGGGAGTGTGGGTGAGGGCAGTCCCCCAGCTGGCCCCTCCTCCCATAGTGTCCAGGGGATGAACAGGTTTCTGCCAAGCCTTTGGCCTGGCCAAGGTGTGAAGGACTTCTGGAGGAGAAATGAGGCCAGCCCCCTGGACTGGAGCCTGTGTCTTCCTCAGGCCTGGGACAGAGAGGCAGAAGGAAGGGGAGACCGAGTGGTGGGGGTTTTCCCCCAGGCCGGGTTTTCAGGAAGCCTGAGTCCCCGAAGTTAGCTATTGGGCAGAGACAATTGGTCTTCAGGACCCAGGAGCTACTGATAGTGATTAATCTCAGCAAGCGCTTGAGAACGCCTGATAGGCCTAGCTGGCTGCTAGGGGTGTAGAAAATGCAGGCCGTGTCCCTGGGGAGCTGGTCCTCTGACTCGCAGCAGGATGCAGGTGCTTCACAGGAAAGTGTCCGTTACGGGAGGTGCAGCCAGCTTTGCCACTGAGGAGCTCCGTGACCTTGGGCAAGTGACTGTATCTCCCTGAGCCTCCAGGTCATCATCTGTAGGGCCCTGCCGTGGAGTTTCTGTTCAGTAGATATGACTGTTCTTTCCTGAGGCCCCTGAAGCTTGAAGGTGAAGAAGACACCGGAAGTGAGTGAAGGTGAAGCTGGCCTCTCTGGGGACAAAGCCTTGATGGTCCCAGAACAGGGCGAGTATGAGTTGGGATCTGTCAGCTTCCTTTGCAAGCCCTGATGACTAATCAGTATATCCCTAGCAGAGAGAATAGGGCCTCTCTGTGGATTCCACAGGGGCCCTTCACCAGTGCTTAGCTTTTTGCCCTAGGGGACAGGTCCTGGAAGAAAAAGGTGATACTTGTGAACAGTTTCTGTCACCACTGAGGTGTCTGCCAGACCCAGGGTTCATGAAAGTTCCTATAGTTCCTATAGCAGTCCCCTCCCACCCCCTCCGAAAAGGCAGCAAGTGAAGAAGGAGGATGCAGCTTATTGGCTTACCCTGTTGTT